TTCATGAAACAGTTGCTTCATATTGATCAATAAACTATTTCTTGCCATGGAGCCTAAATGAATTACATTGAGAAAAATGCATTTTGTTTTGGTTACTATAAAAAATGTATTTTAACGTTTTACCTGATTTGTGTACACAGTAATTCTGTTTTTAGTATTGAATATTCTGACTTACAAAAACATATATGTTTCAGTGAATAGCTGTATGATATTGTTGACAAATAAAGGTGTATTGTGAAAACCAAAGCATTCGTAAAACAGGTCTAAATATAAATCAAATGCAATTATTCCTTACACGACCTAAGAAGTGTGACAGTGCATAATCGTCAATTGTCTTAAAAGTGTTAAATATTTTAATTACTAAACATGCATTTGCAGATGTGGAATGTTTATTGATATTCTCTACCCAGTTACTATATCATATCAATACTATTATGCCTGCTTCGGAAAGTCCTAGAGGAAGATGATTTGCAATTTCGACTAGGCTATATCTTGATCAAACAAAACCACCTACATGGCTTGCACCACTTTTAGCTGAACCAATCTTTCATATACATATTTCATTTGCAGATGTGGAATGTTTATTAATATTCTCTACCCAGTTACTATAACATATCAATACTATTATGCCTGCTTCGGAAAGTCCTAGAGGAAGATGATTTGCAATTTCGACTAGGCTATATCTTGAGCAAACAAAACCCCCTACATGACTTACACCACTTTTAGTTGAACCAATCTTTCATATAATATTTTCCAAAGGTACTATACGAAAGGTACTATAGTGTTAACGACCAATTTTCCACTTTTGAGAGATTTTTTAGTGCTGGTAGCTGAGGAATAACTTTCATATTGTTTCAAAAGGCTTGAGACGTTACTGTATTTCTTTTTATAATGTAGAAGTACACCGATTGCAGGAAACGATGATGTCTGACATTTCAATGTATCTAGAAAAGACAATTAGTTTTTCATTAGGCCTAATGTAATGGACAACTCTTTCTTTCTTAAGGAATATCTAAAGATGTTTATTTCCATACCCATTGATTATGTAACCTGAACAGGTGACTCAAGCAGTTTTAAAATAATGATTGTTCTGTGGAACTTTTGATTGTTTCAAACAGTTTTGCTTATCGAAAATCCTCAAGTAATTAATATATAAAAAAATATACAGTCACTAAAAATCATGAAATAATTTATTTTTGTAAAAAAATACAACCGACTTCAAACGCTCTAAAAAGAATGAAATAATTTCAATAAAGTAAAAACTTTTGTATTAGGCAAGCTCACGTATTTCAAGTCGGCGCGGCTCAAACTGCAAATATGATTGATGTGTGTGTATTTTGAAAATCAATAAATTGTAGCTGGATAACATAAATATATAAATAACATACTGAACTGTTTTATTGTTTATATATTAAAGGAAATATTTTCTTGTATTTTATGTTTACTTCAGAATAAATGCATTATGAAAATAACACACACAAATGTTCTATATGAATAGGAAAATAATTTAGTTTGATATTATGATAGGGAAAAGAAGCTAGTTTAGTATTAAAACGTTACTTTTCCAAGTTAGAAACATTTAAATGTGTTATAATCTTTTTAAAGATACTCGTTAATACCACTATAATACCGATCTCTGATTACGGTAATAAAATAACACTTAACGCATAACTCTGAAAAAGACATGCAGATTAAAACCTTTAGTTATAGATAGTCACCTGCAATATGGACACCCTCTTTCAATTTTGCATCAAAAATCATCATAGAGCCGCGCCGACTTAAAATACGTGAGCTTGCCTAATACAAAAGTTTACTTTATTGAGCGGAGCGAAGCGAAGCTCTTATACTACACTCCTGCTTTTTTTTTACAAATACTCCTCCTAAACGGCTGAAGCGATCTGCACCAAATTTAGCACAATCGTAGTAACCAACCATGGGAAGGTATAAATCTGAAATGGTACAAATCGGACCACAGGGCCTTTCCCTACGTGAATTAAAAATTTTGGAAATTTAACATGGGCCTTATGGGTTAATTGGTTGCCATGGCATTATTTGAAAGATAATAAAAAGGGAAACAAGAGTCGCAACATATCAAGAGTCAACGAATCATCGAAATAGTGCATTACAAATACCGTACAGAGAAAAAGAAAAGGACGATAGGATTAATATCATTGAGCATAATTTATTACAAAATGAATAACCAATAATTAGTGTCGCCGGAATAAGGCTGATGCACTATTAACTTTAATCCAAATAACCATTGGAACCAAATGTACGTGAACCAAATGTACAATTAAGTTTAGATACTGCAAGTACACGTACACAATTCGTTTACGTGAAACAGTCGTACCACTGACTTTAGAACCTGTAAATAGACATTCCACTTAAGTGAACCAGGCGTACCATTGACTTTGGATGCTGCAAATAGGTATTTTATTTATGTGAACCAAATGTATCATTGACATTGGATACTGCAAGTAGACATTATATATGAGAACCAGATGAAACATAGACTTTGGTTCCTGTAAGTAGACAATTCATTTACGTGAACCAGACTTATAATTGACTTTAAATACTGCAAATAAATAGATTATTGACATTGGATACTACAAGTATTTAATCTCATTTACGAGAAACAGATGTATCGTTGACTTTAGAAAAGTATTGGATTAATATGCTAGCTCCGCTCAATAATGCAAGCAGACAACTGCATTGTACACCTAGTTGAAATTATTTCATTCTTTTTAGAGCGTTTGAAGTCGGTTGTATTTTTTTACAAAAATAAATTATTAAGTAGACATTTCAGTGTAAATCAAATCAGTCAAATGGAAATTCACTTAGTCAGCAGGTTTACTGCGGCGGGGGTTTTGTATGGTTATTGGTTACGGAGAAAATTGTAAATTAAAAATTCCCATGTTATTCTTATGGAGATTTTACTATAAAATATGTGTTTTTTTTAAACACACTTTATTACACTGTAGGCAGCAAACCTAGGTGCTCGTTATACCTAATGTTATTTGAATAGATTTAATTGAAAATCAAATCAAATGGAAATTCGCTTAGTCTGCAGGTTTGCTGCGGCGGGGGTATTTTAAATTATGATAATATCATTACTGTTACTCTGTTACAAATAGTGTGTTAAAGCACAAATTAATTATTGATACTTTACTTTTTAGAGATAAATGGTTTTTGTTACTGAGTAGTGCTAATAGACAGACATGTACAACTCTGAAAACTGTGCAGTAAATTGCAATTTTCTATCCATTAAGACTTTCTAAATCATGCACATAATATTTCTAATTAAAATTATACAAAATTTAATCTAGTTGTTGTAAACCACTATTAATTAAACATAATATGGACATGGCAAATATGGTCAACATGCCCTTCTGCACTTGTATTATTTTGTGTTTATTACACTTAGGCACTGTGTAAGTGTACTGTATCAAGTTGCTGTATCAAAGCAACTCTTATACGGTATCTCATAGCGATCGTATTCTGGGGCTGAGCCAAGTCTCAGAAACCTCAAGTAAATAAAAGTCGAGATCAGTTGTCAGTGCACACATTTCGTCAAAACCTGTGTTCAAGGAACGAATATTTAAATGAGCTAAACACAGGCTTTGACTTTCTCGTTTCCCGCCACCTGGCAAGGCTCCGGGCCCAGGACAGCTCTCTGTGGAGAGAGATCAACCGGGACCAGACTCAATTCCACGTCAGAGGAAACAACTTCACTTGGAGTTTTCACGTTTAGACATCTCATCATACGTAGTGCCGCCGGAATCACTGTGCTAAAGAAAGATGCCAGCCGTGAAACTCCCCCTCTGTTGAGATGTCTTCCATCTCGAGCAAGGTGCCTTCTTCCCACCCAGCAGTTAGCCTCCACAAACATGACCCCAAAATTATTGCACATTAAGTCAAGTTGGTAGTTAAAATCAAACAAAACTTTGTAACTGATATCTTATCTGATGTCTATGCTGTTAACATAAATCTTTGAGTGAGAAAAGTTTTTTTTTTGCTGTAGACAGCAGGTTGGCCATGTCGTGGAGTGCCTCGCGCTTCCCCTGACCTCCGTTGTATCCTGGACCTCCCCTATAACCCATCCGTAGGTTGTTTGTACCCACATGGATATGGATGATTCTAAGATTGTAAAATTAACTCCGGAGTTTTCACATTATCCAAAATGTCCTTTTATTGTAATTTGAAAACCCTAAAAAGTATATATTTTGCTCACATTTACTCTCATCTTTCATTCGGTTTTGCCTTATAATGGGTCAACAAAACAATTAAATATGGATAGCATTCTGAAGCGGCAAAAAGAGGTTATTGGAATTATGTTTAAGCTTAAACGAGATAATTCGGCAAAAGAACAATTTAAGAAATTACAAATATTTACAGTTTATGGACAAAATATTTATGAAACAATTCTCATCACAAAAAAAATTAATCTGAGCAAGTAATAAATTCACTGCATACTTATAATTTCAGGAGGAGGAAAGAGTTTGTCCAGCCTCACAAATTAAAACTTTTTGGAAAAAACTCCTCATACGCTGGTAACGATTTTCTAATATTTGTCTCTGAATTATTCATAAAAAAACAAAACAAACCTATCTAAAAAGAAAATTCTAATAGAGCATATAATAAATGAATCATTATATTCTTTTGATGAGTTTTCCACCTCCCATAAATACCTAAAACTAATTGGCTTAATACCTAAAAAAATTGTATTTTCAAATCACTGTATAACTTACTTAAAAATAAACAAATTAAGTTTTAAGATAATCAAACTGACATCCCGAATGCTTTTGAAAAAGAGTGTATCGGTGATGATGCTCAGACAGGGTGAGAGCGCAGACTGATTTTCGTCGTACCCCCACCCCTACAAAACCGGTTAAGAGCCACTACCCCCAGGCTTCACCAGGAATTGCTCTATTGAATACGGATGCTAAACATTTCCTCGCCTTGTCCCCAGTTTCGGTGTGATTGTGATCCACATGTTTCAGGTAGAAGAACTGCTAAACATCCCAAACACTACTGAAGGTGTGAAGGTGGTAGATCTATCCTGGAGTGCTACAGGCAGTGTTTTGGCAGTGGCAAGCTGTCATACATTGCACAGCGGCTGGTGTCATCACCAAGGCTATGTCACACTCCATAACATTGATAAGTAAATAGCAGGAACGCCTTTTTGAATTTGGCTAGTGCCAGTTTGTTTTGGCAAAATATTAATTGGCACATACCTAATTACTGTCATACATGCCTAAAATCACAGTATGTTTTTCAGTCAGTAGCAAACAAGTGTAGCCTACCAACAGATTTATAGTAGCCTACATGATTCTTTTAATTTACCTTTTAATAGTTGATTGTGTTTGCTTTCTCTAAGTATATAGTAGTCAACAACTGAATATATCTTTAAAATAGCATATTTCATCACTAGGGGTGACGCAAAAGGAATGAGGGTTTTAGTTTTCATTCAAACAATTAATAATACTTTTACAATAACAAATAGCCTATTCCCTATATGGGAAATTCGCTAAAACAAATCACCTGTCTTGCAAATCAGATGTAATAAAACACATTTGTTATATCCAGACTCATGGCTTAGCCACAAGGGGCTAAAGTGACTCTTTTCAGCATGTTAAGCGGCCGAGGTGGAAACTTTGTCAGTAAATGAGCGCAGGTTAACTTTTTGCCTATGTGATGGACTATATATTTCTTGTCGTTCTGCGCCATTATTTAGGCTATATAAGAGTTATAAAATATAATTTCCCTCTTCTTTTATGAAATTACTTGTATCTTGATTTCAATTCTGCTATTAAAGTAAACTATTAACTTATTCAACTATTTGGTCTGTTACGATTCTGCTGATATAGGCCCTACTATTAAAGGTTATTTATTTAACTATTTATTGTAATAAAGATTATTTTATTTTAAAACTATTGAAGTATAGTGTTTCACATTATATTTTTATAATGTGGCGCTCGTGTTACACATTATATTTTTCCTACAGCCACTATAAAACATATAAATAATTAGTCTTTCAAACACTATACAACACGTTTTTAGGTTAGGTTAAACCCGAGCGATGAACGGAATGGGAAACACTGCACCAGTTGATTGTAGTCGTAGTATCTTTAGGTGTTGCTTATTTTCAAGAGTACACTAAACAGTATAAACAGAATAAACAAGTAATTTTGTAGCTTTCTTACTTACGCACCAAGAAGAAAACAGTTTGTATGCTCGTTCATACTTCTTTCTTGATTTTTCAGGAAACAGGTAACAGGTTTAATGAAACATGCTTTGTAGTTTCTGCTACATATTTTTTCTGGTGTACACATATATTCACAATCACTTAGTTCATTATTCTCAAACGTGTTAGGCCCACTTTATTATTATTATATTATTCTTTCAAATATTACACTTTAGGTTATGTTCAAACCAAGCGTTTAAAGTCAATCAGCTGATCATATTAATAGTATCTTTAAGTGTTGCCAACCTATTTCCAAGTGTACTCGGATTACGTGCATAATAAAACCACGCTGTGTTGTGTTGTTTGGTTGGAATACTGGTGTGTGCCAAAGTACAAACCGTGCGCCAAAGTATAAACCGTGCGACAAAGTAAGTAAATACAGCAATTAGCAGCTTTCTGTACTATAATCAGTGCAAGGAAGCCAACTTTCTCGGGTGACTTTAGGAAAAATATTTTGCAAAACAGCTGACTTCTCTTTCAATTGTTTTCCATGCATCATTACATTAAATTTTGGTTTTATTAACATGTTCGCTACCGATCGTCACATACATTTTAATATTACACCTAGACCGAGTGTCACTTGTAAATGCAGACTGCGGGCCAGTGATGCGGCAAAGTAAAAATCAGATTTTCCAACTTTCATATAATGACACTAATCGTCATTTCTACAGACCAAGTGACACACATATGCGACAGACATCCCTGTAGACCACTGCAAAGAATTCAGGGCCTTTAAATGGACCGTTACGAAGATATAAGCTTTTTAATAACATTGGACTCCGACGCAAATATACAAAGTCAGTCTATGTGACCAGCTGTCTCATAAATACGACTGCAGTCTATGGGTAGAAACCGGCCGTCGCATATGTGCGTCGCTGGTCCATATGAATGAAAAATTTAGTAGTGAAAAATTTAGTATAGTAGCTCAGAGTATTTTATTACTCTGAGATAGTAGTGAAAAACCTACTATTGCCGTAGCCAACGTTTTAAGTTCTGTTACTACTGATTTTTTAGTTATTACATTATAAATACTGTATAAAAAATATAATGTGCAATGTGAATGCAAAGGGTTATACTTTGCATAAAATTGACGTTTTTCACTCGTTAAAAAAGTGTACTTTGCTCAATAGTTGTACAATAATTAACTAACTATAGTGTTTTTTTTTATATGAAATTATCCTCCATTGTCGCTATAGATGTAAACAGATGTAATACTTTTTCAGAGACAGCAGGATTCCTAGCTGTACCCTCAATGCGACCTCTTGTGTACGCAGTGTCAGCATGCATCCTTACTTGTCCTCCATTGTTGCTGCAGGCACAATTACAGGTCGGTTCTACCTCATGCCACATATCAACAATCTAGGGTTCCTCCTTTCTTCAAAAAATAAATTCAGTAGTTAATATTTTTCCTAAATCTCAAATTCTGTAACACAGTGATCAAACTCATCATCAGCAAACTCTACTCGCATTCAAACTAAATCAAACAAATTCACAAGACGCTGAGAAATATAATATGAGGCGTCTAAACTGTTTTCCTAAAATGAAAACACCCAGCAAACCACTGAAAAATGACTGGCAAAAACAAACAAAAATTACCGTAAGGTTCAGCGGAGAGAAAAAGTTCCATCTACTGAGTGTCAAAACAAGTTCACAGTCCTTTCTAGAGAGAGTGATGAAATATCAACACCAATACCACACATGTCTGATCCTCATACCACTTCACTGAAGAAAAATTCTAAAATCACAATTAGACCCAATACTAAACCAAAGAAAAGGAACACAGATTTTTGTAATCCAATAAAATCTAAATCTAAATTACTGAAATTGGCTGACAGCCATGTCCGTGGTCTTAGCAATCTTCTACAATATAAAGCTGATCTAAATGTGTCTGCAATAATAATGCCAGGGACATTGTTAGCTGACGTTACAAAGGACTTTAACACGTTCATATAAGCGACGACGCGATCATTGCCACGGACCGAGGTATACAATTTAATCTTACACTTGACCGGCTGTCACTTGGATAACAGTACACACAGACCACGCGCAAAAACCTGTTAAACAGTGATCATTTACTTGTTAATATGCTACAATCGAGTTTGAAATAATATTTTTGTTAATGACTAATTTCATATATGTATGACCATTGATTAATCTTTATATTTCTGCTGTATGATTTATTTGTGAAGACTAATTATCACATGTTTTAATGTTGTTAAATAATCTATACTAATATATAAAAATGAGATGGTGTGTGTTTGTGTGTGTGTGTGTGTGTGTGTCTGTCTGTTACCTAATAAAATAACGCAAGAACCACTGAACCGATTGAAATAAAATTTTGAATGAAGGTAGCTTATATACCGGTTTAACGTATAGACATATTCCTGTTATTATTTTTCCCTTGGGCTACGCCCCATGGGGCTTCCAAAGTTTCAATGTTTACATTTTGGAAGAATGTAAAATAGTAAAAAGTATTAATTGAAGTCAGCTGTAAATACCACTGTATAATTTGACAGTTCAAACACTAAACAGCAGAGGTTAAGAGGTACAGCTCCTGCTCCCAAGATTCTAAAGTTTTATGATTATGAGAACGAGTGTACATGTTGCTCGAATTCGAGCAATTGCAAAGTATTACAGGAGTTATTTCAAAACGAATAACAGTCATATTTACAATGAGTTTAAAAGAGTCAACTCAAAGATTACCAGTGTGTAACTCAGACCATGTTTATCTTTGTTATTGATAAACCTAAAGCATTCCGGCCGGTTTTCTCCTTCTCAAAATGTCTCGCTGTACAGGCAACACAGGTCATTAATAGAGGGCCAATTGAGAACGAAAAGTCACTTTAAGGTAGTGTTAGGGCTCATTTGTAAACTAATAGTTGAGATTGTCCAGGGTCAGGTGCTGACTGTGATGAGTTAAGCCTATTACGCGCCACTGTTCTGTAGCTGCGGTAGTTATCACGATTACGCCTCCTGTCTATGTTTCGTTGTCGTCGCATCAAGAACAAAACAACAAATAAACTAATAATTATATCTACACAAAACAACGATAAATGCACAAATTTAAGTTACAATCATGCTAACACGATCCGTCATAGCGACACAAAACAACGATAAACACACAAATTTAAGATACAACCATACTAACACGATCCGTCTTGGGGTTATGTTTACACAAACTCAAATAGTAAATAAATGTACTCAATGCGTTTCATTGAATTGAAAAATAATTAACAGTAATTAAATTATACAGCTGATCAAAATGTAAACAATTATGTTTTTCATAAGGATAACATGGGAACTTTCAAAGCCACTGGGACAGAGCCTAAGGGTCTTTTTCCAAAATGTAAGGCCAGTTTGTAAATTTACGCGACACGCCCTTTCCAATGAGACGTCAATGGATAAAATCGGTTAAGAAATGGCGGAGGAGTTCAACCGACAAAGTTTCATGTAGCGTATTAATTATATAGATAGTTTGATTAATATATTTATGAAAATATACTTATTTTCATGGAAACAGAAGGATTATTACAATGTATAATATTTTCGAATAATTTTGATATGGTAGCTTTATGTCTACAAATTTGAACTGATAAACAAATGTTTGGATCGGGATTTTAATAGATTTTAAAAACTAAGAAATATGTACTAGTGCAGTTTTAAAAATTTAACTGACTCAATGTTTACACTTTTATTTGTGTTTTAATTCAATTTACAAACTAAATTTCAACTATACCTACTTTTATTCTGTCCAGAGGTAGCTACTAATTATATTTTCTTCTACCATCTACTTCACATTCACTTTTTTAAATTTACAGAAATCTCCTTAGTAGTTGTATATTTACAACACTGCTTTAATTTGACTATGGAGAATATCACAAAACTAAGCTGCGAGCAATTCACTTTTGTATCTAAAATCTGTAACGTAACTGTGTTTCTTTACTTGATGTTTTAAATAATGATGTAATTTAATGCAAATACATACACGTTTTGATTTATGGAACGAGTTAAAATAATTAATGTTATGTATTTCGTTGTTGATTTATATTTAAAGTACCTGTGGACCGAGCTTTGCTCGAGGAAAATCATTCCCCCACTCTGCGATGACAGCCTTTACTACTTCCTTCATCATTTCCTACGTCATGGACCTGTTTCCTTCCCTTTTAATAGCATTCAAGTATTACATATACATTAATCTAACTGCCACAAATGGTTCCCCCACTCCGCACTGCAAGCATTTACTACTTCTTTCACCATCTCCTATGTCGTGGACATGTTTCCATCCCTTCTCATAGCATTTCTGTATTTCAATTTCAGATACATAAATCTAACTGTTACAAACAGTTTCTAGTTCTCACACTCCACACTGCTCGCCTTTACTACTTCCTTCACCACTTCCTACGTCGCGGACATGTTTCCTTCCCTTCCCATAGCATTTTAGGATTGCAGATACCTTAATCTGATCGTCATTAACAGTTTCCACACTCCGGACTGCTCGCCTTTACTACTTCCTTCGCCCCTTCCTACGTCGCAGACCTGTTTCCCTCCCTTCCCATAGCATTTTAGGATTGTAGATACCTTAATCTAATCATCATAAACAGATTCCACACTCCAGACAGCTCGCCTTGACTACTTCCTTCACCACTTCCTACGTCACGGACCTGTTTCCCTCCCTTCCCATATAATTTTAGGATCGCAAATACCTTAATCTAATGGTCATAAACAGATCGCACACTCAGGACTGTTTGCCTTTACTACTTCCTTCGCCCCTTCCTATGTCGAGGACCTGTTTCCCATAGCATTTTAGGATTGTAGATACCTTAATCTAATCATCATACACAGTTCCCACACTCCGGACTACTCGCCTTAACTACTTCCTTCACCACTTCCTATGTCGCGGACCTGTTTCCCTCCCTTCCCATAGCATTTTAGGATTGCAGATACCTTAATCTGATCGTCATTAACAGTTCCCACACTCCGGACTGCTCGCATTTACTACTTCCTTCGCCCCTTCCCACGTCACGGACCTGTTTCCCTCCCTTCCCATAGCATTTTAGGATTGTAGATACCTTAATCTAATCGCCACAAACAGTTCCCACACTCTGGACTGCTCGTCTTTACTATTTCCTTCACCACTTCCTACGTCATGGACCTGCTTCTCTCCCTTCCCATAGAATTTTAGGATCGCAAATACCTTAATCTAATGGTCATAAACAGATCGCACACTCCGGACTGTTTGCCTTCACTACCTCTTTCACCACTTCCTACGTCGCGGACCTGTTTCCTTACCTTCCCATAGCATTTTAGGATTGCAGATACTTTAATCTTATCGTCATAAACAGTTCCCGCACTCCGGACTGCTCGCATTTACTACTTCCTTCACCAATTCGTACGTCGCGGACCTGTTTCCTTACCTTCCCATAGCATTTTAGGATTGCAAATACCTTAATCTAATGGTCATAAACAGATCGCACACTCCGGACTGTTTGCCTTTACTACTTCTTTCACCACCTTCTACGTCGCGGACCTGTTTCCTTACCTTCCCATAGCATTTTAGGATTGCAAATACCTTCCCATCCTTATGAAACGGCTTAAGCCACTTTTATTGTTAGCTCTGTCTGGTTTTCTGTAGATGTCGTGTTTTTGCGAGAAACAAATTGTAAACAAAGCACGACATCTACAGAAAACCGGACAGAACTAACAATAAAAGTGGCTTAAGCTGTTCCATAAGGATGGGAAATTTTTCATAACAGATCCCACACTCCCCACTCTGCTATCCTTTACGACAATCTCAGAGTAATAAAACAAAACTACAATGTACCGAGTAAGGTTCAGTATAATCTTTGCTCAATAGTAACAAATTGATGCTTTCCCTTTTGTACTGTATTTGTAATTTGCTAGTATACTGTAGGTAGTTGGCTTATTATGAACACATGCTACAACTTCAAGTCTTTTGTTTACTTTTTGTTTGTTATTTAATTCAACCAACATGGTTACTTAGCAACCCATAAGACTAATTGTTAAAAAAATGTGACTTTTAGTTTTGTTTTTCTACGTAATTAGATTTTTGTTGGCAGTTCTAACTGCATGAAACTCGTTTTTAGGCCAAAAATAAACTATTTACAAGATTTGAAGAAAATCTTCAGAGCCGTTTTCGAGATCTTTCTGCAAGCAAGCATGCATACAAGCAAACATTGCTCGTATTAGATTATAGGATTGGTGAAATTTGTGCCCTGATTAACAATAATAGTGTTAGGCTTTCTAACAAAAGGTAATACAAGTTTTCCATTAGTTTATTTTTGCTTATTATTGTGATACAGTAGAACC